ATTCAAATGTACCGATCAGAGATAGAAACGGCAGGCTTCTTTCGAGCGGAGAAGAACAGAATGAAAGATGGCTCGAATACTTTCGAGATATACTCAATCAGCCCAATCCGCCGAGAACCTACTGCTTCGATGACACGGAACCAATCGAAGAGCTTGAGGTTAATACTGGATGCATATTGACAGAAGAAGTAGTTGCAGCAATTGCCTCCGGAATAGGAAGTCTCCTGGTCTGGACGAAATTACAGCAGAGTTGTTAAAGGCAGGAGGCAGTGCAATAGTAGAAAGACTCGTGAAACTATTTAATCATTGTTGGAGCCGAGGAGAAGTCCCGGAAGACTGGAGAAAAGGTGTCATTGTCAAACTGCCTAAAAAAGGAAATCTCTCGGATTGTGGAAATTGGAGGGGTATCACACTGTTGTCTGTACCCGGCAAAACCTTCTGTGTTGTTCTACTTCGCCGACTTCGTGCGACCGTCGAAAGCTGCCTCCGTTTTCCGGCGACATCAGCCAATATGGGCCAGTTCATCGATATCGCAGAAGATCAAAATGCGGTTGTACTACTCCATCGTGATTCCTACTGCACTATATGCAAGTGAAACTTGGAAAAGTACTGCTAGCATTGTAAAGAGGATGAATGCCTTTCACCAGAGATGTCTACGCCGGATTATGAAAATACGCTACATGGATCACGTCACCAATGAGGAAGTTTTACGCCGTTGTGGCTCGAATTGCCTCCACGTGGATTGTGGCACAGCGTAGGCTTCGACTGGCTGGCCATATTTTGCGCATGACACAACAACGAGTTCCAAGGGTGGCCATGAACTGGATACCTCCAGGCGCCAAGCGAGGAAGAGGCCGTCCCAGAAACACGTGGAGACGAACGTTCGAGAATGATTTCAAGATCATGAATGTTTCTAGGAATGAAGGAGAAATGATTGCACAAGATCGGCAACAGTGGAAAGAATTCGTCGCCCGATGTGCTCTCCAGCACGGGAGGAACTAAGTCTAAGTCTATATTCATGTTGATGTATTATTCTAACCTGATGTGGTGATTGTGATAACACCCACAATGGCTACAAAAACACCGAACGAGCACACTCAGCCTCATTCTACATGGTGCTGCCGGGGCAGCCGGAGTCGGCGGGCGGTAGAGGGGAGGGGGAGAAAGGAAGAGAAGGGGGAGAAGGAAAGGGAGGAGAACATGGTGCTGACGGAGGGGTATAAGGAGGTATAACACATTCAATAGTGAGGTGGTTAATGGAGTACGTCATGCTGCTATTCCGTGGTTCCTCCCTACCCTGTGATGCGCGCGATAGCGGGCGGAGCAAACCTCGTAGATTAAAAACTAGAAATAAAACCAGACGACAAGTTGGACAGCTGAATAAAAAATATGGCTCCACCTGGATAAGCCTCAATTTTCACAGTTATGACCCGGTTTTCGCAATTTCTTCTTATCACAAAACACTACCTTTCGTTCTCCGGTCAAGGTTGGTGTCGGACTTTGCGACTGACGACAATGCGAGTTTGGTGTCCATGTGGGCCGACACGATCTTGCAACAGCATTTGTCGCGGCGTACATATCCCCCTACGGTCCAACAAGGCCGTTTTTGGAAGCTCGAACGTATAAACAACTTTAGAGAGCGGTGACTAAGTAAGTTAGCTTACATGATAAAAGCACAAACAAAGTGGCTCCTCCAGCAGAAGTTTCGATTGAGTAAACGCCTATTTAGGGTTACAAAATGGATCAAATTGAAGACCTTGTTGAAGAGTGTTCGTATACGTTTTTCTACTATAAAAGTTGGAACTTCTTACAACATGGCAATTTATCGTTCTCAACGTTTGGCAAACATTCGAATGCCATTCACACTCACTACTACTCCTTTCTTAAGAGCTAGTGTGAGTTTGAGCTGACTTGAAAAAAAGCAACGAAATTTTGAAAAATTTTGAAACATTTGCCAAACCGAAGCACGTTCAGCTATACGGTGGACCACAACGTCTATGGTTATGGTTTCAATATCCAGTCTATGAAATTGAACAAAAAACTTCGGAAAAAGTCGTGTAACTGCGAAAAAATGATGGAATTGGTGTGGGAGACACATCCCCGCGAGGTCCGACGTGGCCTGCAGAGCGCGGAATATTAATATCAATATGTTGCACTATAAATGTCGCACCAGATTTAGCTTCACCCCACTCGGCTGTGTTCGAACATGCGGGGGTAACTGAGCATTCATTCAGAAGAGAAAACCCAAGAGTATACCAAGAGTATAAAAGCGAGTCTTCGTTGCCCATGTCAATCGTCGAGTCTCTGCGTGAGGAATGGCGAAACCTGGCACAATATGGTAGTACCTGTCTCTTCTTCTGAGATGCCGAATTGTTGCGGTTCCAACAAATTTTGTGGTACATTCAAAAGCGGCATTTTTATGCAACAACCTAGTATATCCCCATGCAGTCGTCAACGCGTTAACATGGAATCGCTTTCAGCGCATCGCTCAATACGCAAAGTGTGACATTTGTGATGACCTAAAGAAAATGTGGTAACAATCTATCAATTTTAACAAGACTACCACGGAGAAATATGGGTTGCTTTATAATTTTGAGATGAGCGAAAGGCGACAGTTCCTAAATAAATAAACATAAATATTTTCTTCTTCTTGAACCTGGAATTTGATGGGAAGGTTTGATTTTGCGATACAGTTAACATATTTTTTTACCTCAACACGTTTTTTTTGAGTTCATCAATCTAGGCTCATTCAATTTGAGTCTCATCATCCATCAAATGGGGCTTCACCTTCACAAGCATTTTTGCTAATGGAGACAGGAAATAATAATGCGCTTTGTATTGGATATTTGGTGGAAAAAGATGCACACTTGTGTAAATATATAGTTTTTGCGAGTGGTAGTTCATAGTGCACCCATCGGGGAAAAAATTCAGGTCGTCCATGTGGCAGGCGTGCACTCTACCATTGAACCACCGATCAACTACAAGTTCAAATACCCAGTGTATCTAGAAAGTAGAGAGCAGATATGGTAATTCGTGAGAGGTGCGCTAGTACATGCCGTTCTTAGTGCTGCAGTTTGCATTGTAACACAGTGGTAGCTTAGCTTTACTCGGTGAAAGGCTCGGGCTCGTTCATACTGCCTCTTCTTTTTGGGCGGAGCATCACGAAATTCTACGCTACTTCATCCGCGGTGTTTCGTTGTTCAGATGTTAAATCAATTCCTTGAAATCCACTCGCAGGAGTATAGAAAAACCTCACACCTGCGAGGGAATTTGTGCTCTCTTTCAGAAGCTGCGCCAGCGATTCAATATAAGAGTAACTCATAATTAGAGGTTGTCCGTCTAACTTTCTCGACCTCGCTATTCTTTCGAACCGGGGGGAGTGGGGAAAGGAGGGGAACGGAAATCATCGTTGGTAGCGCTTGACTCTGATCGTGCTCTTGTCCTCTGAGGTGAATTTTAGGTTATTGATTCAAGGCATTAAGATAAGGCTTGTAACTTATTTGGCTTCATCCACATAAATTTTTTTGGTGCCTACCTGAATAAATAGTTGTGTTGTGAGATCCGTGGAAAACGGTATAAGCCTTCATTTAATCTTATCCGCGTTGCAACGACTCTATTTCAAACCTTATAAATTTTCTCGCAGCGACTCTAAAGAAGTTGGCTCTCAACTGCACGTCAACCTTTCGAACCTCATCTCAACTTTTTGGATATTTGTATTGATGCATTCATGCATTATTGTTTTTTGCGCAATTCTTCAGCTCCCATATCGTTCACTTAGGACCAATCTGGTATGGTAAATAACGCACCTCATTCCGTTTATATCGATCGAACACTGTTGAGTTGCGAGAAGCAAGATTTACTATTAACGAACCTGGAACATTCCCACTTCCTTTTGGATTATGATGAGCCTGATCGGCAACCGACCTGTCTGTTTGAGCACCTCTTTGATCGTTCCCAAAATTTTCAAGTTTTGGAAAGCCTCTGCAGGACAGATCACTGACGAGGATTGTAGACCACAAGCATCAACAGCCACAACGTCGTATTTTCTTCCTAGGTATCAAGAACAATTAGAAATTTTCGGTGTTTAAGTAGCTCTCCGATGAGGGTGGATGCTTACAATTAGTGGCAGCCCTTGTCCGCCAATATACAATTAGGGGTTGGAGTGAGTGAGTAATAACAGAAATGTAGGAGCGTTACTCTAGGACATTGATGCGGTTGCAATGTATTTGTACGAAATGGGTGAGCAGTGAAAAAAGGAAAGGAATCAATAAACGCTTTGGTTGCGGGCTCGCTCACCCTCCTAATCGGCTGTGCTAAGTATAATGAGAGACTGCGCGGAGAGGGAGCATGGGAGAGAGCGATACGGAAGAGATACAAATGAGTCTGAAGAAGAAAATTAGCAACATCAGCAACTTACTTTGCAAGATCTAAGCGCTCTTGTCGGTTGGTTTCCGTGCACGGAACGCCACATTTGTGATTGTCCTAGGGGTCTACTCTACAGACCGAATGGGAGCGTTCACACAATTTCTGCCTGGGTTGTCGTTTCAGAGGAACTTCCACCACAGCAGCATTATTCTACCTTTCCCATAGAATTACGACTCGAGACAGGAAGGTCCTCTAAAGTAGCATCTAGCAGTGGAGAAAAGAAACATGCTGCTGCATCGGTAAGGCAGATCTTTACTTTGATAGTAGTGGTAATTGCCACCTCCACGCCCGAAAGGGTCAACGTTCACTCAAGTATGCGCATACTCTGAGCAATACGCATGCTTGCTTCGAATCGTTGGTCCCCTTACCTCTTTCTGACCTTTTGTAAGTTTTTCCTTCCGTTGCGCACCAGTATCAGGGAGTTTTCATGAAATTTCAATGATTCACTCAAGAGGCACTTACCTACATTTGTTGTACGTGGTCGTTTAAACTGCTACTAGGGAAAGAAACTCTCAAAAAAAATTGAGTGACGACCAATGAACGAAGCAGGAGGACGGGACGAGATGAGGATGCACTTAAACGAACTCAGCACCTTCTGTGTTAGCGTTCTCCAGAAACCTCACTCCATCTTGCACAACTGTGTGATGAGTTTCAGAATCGACGACTTCAAACCACTTGAACGCCATCCTCACCACTACGGGATCTATTTCAACAGCAGTGATATTGACCTGAATGGAGGTCCATTGAAAACGTTGATTTTCTTTGAGCAGCTATTTCTTCAAAATCTTTCGATTTCAGTAAATCAGTGATTGAATCTCTGATCGATAATTCTTCATATAAGCCGCCCTTAGTGAGTCGATTTCCCGGGATGTATGCCTATGTGTAAATGTGTCAGTGTGTCAGTATGTGAACGTCCTTCCGCACAATGAAAAGGTGAGACCGCTGAGGAGTAAGCAAAATGTTATCAAAACTGAAAGTTCCCTGGCTTATGATATTGGCGTTTCGCAATCGCCTGCTTCTGATGATAGCTTCAGTGGGCTATTTAAACACTTATTGAGCACACTCACATGTTACTGCATTTGCGGCTGGAAAGCAGTGGAGCTAGAAGAGAAGGATGGGTGGGGGGAGGGAAGGAAACACCAATAGGCATAAGATTTTTACTAAGTGTTGGGAAGACATTCGAAGGTCATATCATGATTGCTACAATGACCTCAATGAAATAAAGCACCTTTCCGTGCATGGGACCACGACATGTGGTGGTACAAGTGGAAGGGAGCAGAGCGGAAGGCATAAAGCTTATGGAAAGGGAGATTCCAGCGCTTGCCGGGGAATAAATCTGGCCATGAATAACAAACAATTGTTACATCCGGTTTTATTTTATGTAGTGCCATATTGAAGCTTCCACCGCCCAATCCTATTTCAAGCACTTGCTTCCCATTGTCTTCATCGTTCAGGGAAAGCGACGACATCACGAACGACGCTGCGACCATTCCAGCAATCTAAATTTTTGCCATTCGTGTCACGTTTGTCATTGTATTTGAGAGCATGAAACATCAACTGAACGAAACCAGGAATCATTTGCTTGCTCAAGTGCGCTAGGTACTCGACTTTTTTTTCAGAATCAGACACTGCACATCGCGATTCGCGAATGTGGTCCCGGCGCACGCGCACTAAGGATTTGCCGCGCTCTTTGGTCACGATCGTGCGGCAGGCACCGGCTGTAGGGGACATGCTTCGCCTCCAGCCATAGCCTTTAACACGTTGACGACATCGCGTGTTTTGGCATTTTGCACCGCGTGGGACAGGAGCGATTTTGCGAGCGCGCCGTCCTCACCTTCCTTCCGCTTATTTTCTGTTTAAAATGCACAACAACTTGAATCTCATGGAATTATTTCGGCAAGGATGAAAGCGTAGAGGTTCACCTATATAGATACCAGTAGAAGTTTGTTTAGAAGAACGCATAATGACCACGAAGAAGCAAAAAACATCACTTTCGCTGCGAATGAAGTTAAAAGCATTTATACCCAAGTTTTTCCATCAAATACAAATATCTTGAAATTCATGTCAGCCTGTCGTCAACGTTTTAGCACATTGCCGACAATGTGATTTTGCGTGTCTGCCGCGGAGCGCATTTTTCTTTGCAGCTCAACATCGACGCATTTTCCCAGGAGAGAGCTTTTCTAACTAATATAAACGCAGAAGTCGCAACAATTTGACATGAGCCAGACATGAAACTTCACTAAGGCGAGCGATCGACGGCCCTGAACAGGACAATGGTATCTAAGTTGACGCCAACTGGTGCCAAAGGTGTCACTGAATTTGCTATAAACTTGGGGACAACAGTAGTTGACCGTTGTACACGGAAGTGTCACCCATTTTTTTCGTATTGGCGCCTTCGGCGCCGTTGGCGCCACCTCTATTGCTGGTACCAAATTCGTTGTAGACTGGGGATACCAAGAAGATTAAGGCTCAATGCATCAAATGTTGAAGCTTACTATGCATCGACTGCATCCGAACTAAACACACACCTTGGTCTAGATCCTTCTACTGTGCATCTGCATCTTCCGTTATGCTATGTTCAGGTGCAAAGTTTCTGGTATGTTAAAGCGGAGAAGCATCTCAAAGTGTTGTATAGTTATTATCCTCAAAAAAGTGATAATTAATGAAAACCCTTGAAGTGTTCTGCTGATTGATAGCCGCTCTGAAAGAAGCTAGCGTGCAGCTTTCCTGAGCCCACTCCTGTTACAGGACCCAGTACGCATGAGCAATAATTACGTGATGATAAGAAATGCTGGCTCCGATACTAACTATGCTGTATTGTGGACTATTGTGAACGTTCACATCACATCAATAGCGAAGTTCGTAACGAGTCACAGAGAGAAATGCCTCTTTTGTGGATCAGTACGCAATGGAAGCGAATAGAGACAAAAATCGTGTTGCGCCGTAGCGCTTATTCAGTACATATGGTCCGGAGCTTGAGTCCTAGAATGAGTCTCATCCAGATCGACACTCCCAGGAATTGGATGATTGGTCTCACATATCTTCATATCATATCTTCATATAGCGTTCGTCGTTCAATACTGATCTTGCAGAAGCGAAATGGTTTGCGTTAGAAAAAAACGCAAAGGAAACAACCGAAACTCAGAATCAAGGGTCCCCTTCATTGTGAGTGTAATTGTGCTACGACAAAGGGAAACTGAGCGCAGTGGAAGGAGGGTAGAAGAGAGAGAATTGGCCAAGAGTGTAAAACATACCGTCGTGTAGGCAACTGCCTAGCAAGCCGCGAAGAGCCCATCAGCGTATGAGCATGAGATACCAATGGTCAATCCTGACAAGAAGATGGGTATCACGTTTACTTACGATAGCCCCTATTACTCATTGAGAGAAAGGAATAGCCCTTCGGCATTAGTGCAAGACAGTAGTAGACGTATGTAGTGAACATAAGGAGGCTGATTAATAACAAGTAATTTGATGTTAGCTCATTGTCCAAACATTGTATACTACGCAGGTCCTCAAGGTTTCCACCTGAGATTTGATTGCGCATTTCATATCTTTTGAGTGATCTTCAATAGCAGAAAAAGAAGGAGAGAAAAAGACACCTACATAGGTTGTAACGAAAAAATTGTGGTCGACCGTCCATGTTCGGAAATCAACGCATCGAGTTTCGCCAATACCTCCGTCTGCAATGCACAAAACAAGAATGCCCTTCGGCGTTTGGTTTAACTGGGAATGATTTGATGCTTTATTTTGTTCAAACATTAGGCAAGGGGTGCAATGAGGAACATTAGTGAGGAGAAAAAGCAAAAAGCACCATAGAAAACACTAAATTTCCCTTAGGAGGCCGGCCGTAGTACGACGGAGAGACACAGCGCTGCGAGGAGAGGGAGAACGCGAGATAGTACGTCGTACGCGAGAGGACGCAGAGACCACGTATGCCGTGTGGATTACGCTGGCAGCGCGGCAGCACACAAGCAAGGCCTTAGCGCCATTGCCGCGCACTTTTGGGTCGCGATAGTGTCGCGCCCTCAGTGCTTGGGGAGCCCACCATCGCACCCTGGGAAGAACTGCTGGTTGCCTAATCCTGACTCGTACTTTAAACTTTTATATCTGTCCCATAACTAATGTAAGCTGCCTGTGGGATCCGTACTCTTATATCGCTTCCGCGGCAAAGTAGACAAAAGCCTTGAAACAGATATAAGTATAAGTTTATTACGTTTGCATAAGGCACACGTGAGAAATAATTGACACCATTATGAATCACATGAACTGAACAAGAAATAACTACAAAACACCTATATTTTTAAGAACAACGAGCTTTGGTAATCAGTCTCAAAAAATGCTATGAACCTCTAGTTCTGAGTAATATATTAGATATTCGTCGCTTGAATTGTGCTTGTGTTAAAGAAGCGGGTATATTTTTCGCTATATTCAAATAATCACTACCGGCTCTATATGTGAAGTTCTTAGCACGCACATTACTCTTGGGTCGCGTTAATGATATTTTCATGGATCCACCTCTAGTTCTCGAATATGACATTTTGAAGACATTGGAAAATCCAGACACATAATAATTCTGTACCAGTTTATGAACAAAACATAGGTCAAACACTCTGCGCCTCCATTCAAGAGATGTCAGTTTGAGACTATTATTCCTGGTAGCCGCGTTCGGTATATTATAGTACTGGAAACCTCCCATTCTAATGAATAGTTTACGTGTAAAATTATTTTGAACTTTTTCAATTGCGTAGATGTGTTTCCTTTTGAAGGGTTGAATACTGTAGTCTGGACTCAACTAATGGCCTTACGTAAGACTTTGTATGCAGGATAGTGAGATATGAGGAGAGATATGAGGTTGTTGGGAAATTCTTCGCGAATTTTCAAGGTTTTTTTCTTTACTTTCAATCAACAACTAGCGAATAAATGCCCTAACATCTCGTCCACATACTGCCTTTCAGCAGATAATTGTGGATGCAAATGTTCTAGAGGCCCTGAGTCTTCGAAGTGAAAAAATCAAGAAGTCCTTTCTGCGGAGGTCCTGATCAGACTATTCCTTCTCCACTTGAATCTACAGAAAAAGAGGCTATTGGTTGTTGCCAGATCGCTGAGCACACCAGTGGGGGGCTTAAATCATCCCATAAGGTACGTGAAGACTTTTGCTGCTTTACCTTCGTATTTCATGGACGACCGTGCTCAAATAAAGTAAACTCTCCCATGATTTTGGAGGTGCCGGCGAGCCCATTCTTTTGCTTGGTTTTCTCATTAGTGGATAAAATCGCAGGCCGACAATAGTTACGGTTTTTCTCGTGTTTCTGCACCTTCGCAAACTAATACGTATTTTACATTCCGTGAAAAAAGCCTGGAGCTCCACTGTAACAAGTAGGCTTCAATACACGTACTTTGGGTTCATCAGAAAAGTGGAACAGTAAGAAATGTGTTCAGTAAAAGCTGATTTCACTTGTACTTGCAATCTCTGCAAAATGTGCTCTGAAAATCGTTCACATGCGTTTTACAGTGACTTTTTCAATCGAAACATGACGGTTTTGCAACATGAGGAGGAGAATGCGCGAGAACTTCTCCGACAACCTAATATTATAGCGTTTACATCGCGGGACAACTAGACTCACTTTTCGGTGGCCGTATGCGAACTGTCGTATCGCCTCCATGGGAGCGACCGTCATATACCGCATCGAGAACGAAAATCTCTTCTTCGTTCCTGCAAAAAACTTAAGTGCAAATGAACCCTCTTGCACCACAGCAAAAAGCACTCTACCCGTGTTACTTTGTGTCTAATGGATATTTCAGTGACACTCGATGTATTGCCTTGTTTGGTTTTGGTCTAGCAGGAGGGTCTTTTGGAGTAAGCCGGCTTGCTGCTACGGTTTCTTGCATATTGTAGGGACGCATTATGGACCACAAAACCATGTTTCGTTTTCGCTGAACGGTTTTAGTAGTATCAAAAAGTGGTGAATGATACTGTCAATGGTTCGAATCCTGGGGCCTCAGAATTCTGCAGTTAAAGTTGGCGGCTACTTGTTGGCCTCATAAATTTAGCGCCATTCAAGACCGACCTATACGCGCCAACCTAAAATGAAAAATGGCCATCGTGTAGGATCGAACCATCAACAGTATCATCCACAAATTTTGGTACTACTAAACCGTTCAGCGAAAACGAAACATGGTTTTGTGTTCCCTACATGCGTCCCTACAACATGCAGAAAACCGTTTTGAAAAAGCATGGCTTCGCCCGGAAAGATCCTCCTCGTAAGTGATGCAACGTTGTTCTGTGCTTTCGAGTGCTCTGATTCGTTGAAGATACGAGCCGGGATTAACTCACAGGAGCTTTTTGCATCAACATTGTGGTTGGGTATACAATCACGGAGGTGGTGCCGCACTCGTGACTCAAAACTGCGCGGTAGTAACTCCCAAGGCCTAATATTTAAGATTACGTTGGTAATGAACATTCACCGTGATGCGTGGCTGGGATAGGACG